GATGAAAGAACTATCCTTACCTAAACTTTTACATTTCTTTCTTCTTCAGTTGTTCAATGATGTTTGTAGGCGGTAAGTCTTTCTCTTTTGTTTTCAGCTTTTTATTACCACAAATTTGCAGTATGTAATGTTTGCATTCATCTTAGGGGTAGGTACATGTACTTAACATACAGTTCTTTTTATTTATCTTCCCCTCTGCCTCCCTCGTCCTTCTGATTCTGGATCCCCTTCTCTTGCAGAAGGTCTCCATGTTTCCTTTTTTCTAGTCTTTAGTTTTTTAAAATCATGTATACTGTGAGTTTCTCATAAAAGAGAGGATATGCAATATTTAAGTCTGTGTGTCTGATTAACAAGGTTTCAAGGTGCATCCATTTTAGCATATATACATATAGATGGTGTTTTTCTGGTACCAGGAATAGAACTCAGGCCCTTGCGCTTGCTAGGCAGGTGCTGTGCCACTAAGCTATATCTCCGGCCCAGGATAACAGCCTTAAAGTAGCTTTTTATTCCAGTTTTTAATTGTACTATTTGTTTTTTCAGTTCTTAATAAATACAATGTGCCACAAAATTTGCTATGTGCAGCAAAGTAACCAGTTTTAAATGCTTCTTTTAATCTTCATTTATTTTCCTCTTGAGGACATCACACAAAAAAGCAAATTTACTTTATTGAGGTCTTTATTTTCATTTTTAAATAACTATAAAATCTAATTTTTCTTTTATCTTTTTGAGGCAGGATTTTACTGTGCAGTTCAAGCTAGCCTTGAGCTCACTTTGTGGTCCAGGCTGGCCTTGAACTCATGATCCTCCTGCCTCAGCCTCCTGAGAGCTGGGATTACAAGCATGTGCTACCATGCCCGGCTTAAAATCTGACTTTTTCTTAAAATGTATACTATATCAAGAGTACAAGTTATATTGCATGTTGACTCCAAACATCTCTTATTTTATAACATAATTCTCAACTAATTAAAAATGCATACATAAGGTTTGAAAAAATGAAATGGAATTTTCCAGTACATGACATCAAGGGTTTCATTAAGGAAATTGTATATAAATATTGTATATAAATATTTTTTAAAATGTAGACTCTCTAAATGTAGATGGTGGCACACACCTGTATTCTCAGCACTCAGGAGGCTGAGGCAGAAGGATCATCATGAGTTTGAGGCCAGCCTGAACTACACAGTGAAAGCCTGTCTCAAAAAAAAATTAAAATGTAGATTTAACAATATGGGCTATAATAATTCAATCAAATTAAAGTAAAATAGTTCAGTGCAGAAAAATGGTTTTTTGTCAATAATAAAATCTTGAGAACTTTTATTTAATCATTACCATTTTATAAATGATTCAAATGTTCAGGCTTTTAAAAAATATCCTAAGTAGAAACTATTACAGAATCTCAGAGTAGAAAGACCAGATTTTCCAGCCCTGTGATGACAAATCAACTCCGGTCTGAGGTGGCCACCTTAAATACCATGTGAGGACTGCGACTGTCAAGCTGTGTCACTTGGTGGGGAGGGTGATGTAGCTGCACCACTGGACTGACAGATGTCATTCTGCATTGGGCTTACTAGTATCTGGACCATTTTTTATTGTTATTTCCGTAAACATATCAACTGAATACTGACACCCAGCAAGGTGAAGTGATTTATCCCAAATCACAGAATTTAGAGGTAGGAGGGCCACGACTAGAATCCTGTGCACCTTGATCTTACTCCAGTGCTCTGACTACTGTATACTGTGACCTGTCTTCTGACGCTGTTATAAAACAAAACTTGAAGACTAATCAGTGTCATCTGTTGGTACCATATGGAGGCTGATTAGAAACGGCAAGTTTTTGCAGAGGGATATCGCTGAGATACGATGGATTGCAAAGTGCTGCGGGATAACTAGAAACTACACAATAAACTGTGACTCCAGTCACTGAACATCATTCATGGTTCAAGAGGAGATATATATCTTGGCTTAAAACACTGGTGCAGATTTTCAACAGTTAATTTGTGTATTTGAAAATACCTAGTATAACTTTTTGCTGTTAAATAATGATAAAATTTAATTACTATGTTGACAGGCACGAAATCAGTCAGCTAAACAAAGGCACCTCATACAGGAGACAGGGTCTTACTACGTAGCCAAGGCTGGTCTCAAAGTCCAGGCAATCCTCCTGCCTCAGTCTCCTGAGTGCTGGGATTACCAGCATGTGCCATGATGCCCTGGTGAAAAATGTAGATTCTGTGCTGAGTTTCATAATTTATTTATGAAATAGTACACAATAGCAAAATGATAAGATGTGCCCCTCTCTCTGGCACTTTGAGAGTATTATAGAGTAGGTAATAGAGTAGGTTATAGAGTAAGTAATAGCTAAAATGTAGATATTAAAAAAATAAAAAATAAACATCATTATTAGATGAAATATTAATCTATATAATTTTAAGAAGGTCATATTCTTGATTAGGAAATACTTTAATGACTTTTTAAGTGAAATTCATGTTGAAAATAAAGAAATTAGGGTAATGCAAATCCCCATTAGTTTTGCACAAAGAATGAAAATCCAAGTTTATGTGAAAATCAAGTATTTTGCAAAGTTCCATCAATCAGTGCCATCTGTGAAACCAAGAGCTCAGTGCTTCACATAAGAACTAAAGATGAGAAAAGAAAGGCCAGGAAAATAAAGACGTATATGTGCTTAATGTGGAGAATACTCTTTTCTACAGTGTTTTCAGAAATGGAACAGTCATCATTTTAAAATGAAATACATGTAGTATCAAAGGCTGCTTAGGTAATCTAGATAACGATCACTTTCAGATGGTATGTCTTACATGTTTAGGGAGTGATGTGGGCTAGATAATCTTAAAGACTCTAATTTACGTAATTATAGACAAGAGAAGCACACTGGGATCATCCGGTCTATTTGTCATGTAATGTAACTTTAAAATAAAAATGAGAAAGAATGATACTCATAAATCCAAGTAGGGTGAGTTAGATGCTAATGTGCTAGGGAAACTAGAAACCTAAAGACCGTATTTTTTACGATGCAGAATTATACTAGTGTTAGAAATACAAAGTGCTAGAATACCAAATGTATTGAGACTACAGAAAAATTTCTCCCTACTTTGTGTCTATGAATATTTTTTTCTATATTAGTGAAGGAAATTTTAAAAACCCTATCTTTTGTACACCTAGTCTCTCACTTTAGTAAAGACAGTGCTGCTGGAGTATTCTGGAATACCAGTGACATGTTAACCTGACTAATAAAAAAATCACTATGTAAATGTCATCAGAAGTGAAAGAGCTTATAGTGTATTCCCAGCTTAGATGTCTGATACAGTGGATGCTAATTCATGTTAAAGATCACAAAGGAAGACGTGTAAGTTAGGATGGGGTCCATGAAGTACTGAACAGAAGGCTGACGACCACAGCCCAGTTTTAAGGGGCTTCAGCCCTGTGCATGGGCACCAAAGGGCTGTGGAAGCCAAACTCGAGAGCAAAAAGCACCAGGTTGGGACATATAAATAGATAGGAAACATTCCAGTAGTTTGAGACAAAAAAAAAAGCAAAGAGAGTTTGATGTGGACAAGAAAAGGCATTCCAGAAGCCACTATGTTCTCTGAGGGCTTAAAAACACCTCTGGAGCTCTGATCCCTACGCTCCCAGGACCTGCTCCTACTGTTAACCCTCCCGCACCAAATGTCTTTAACTCTGGCAGCCCACACATTTCTGAGGAAATGGTTTTTAAAAAGTTACTGGAAATGTGCTATTTGGTTGCTAGAAGTGTTCATTATTGATTAGGTGCATTCTGGCAATGGAAGACAAGCTTGCAGTCTCAATAACAGAAAGTCTAGAATAAGTAAAATAATTCCATGACTGTCCCATCGAGTGGCTTGTACTACTGGTCCAAGTGGTACAATCATGCCTGCTAGTGAGACCTATGAATTATGGCCCCACTGTGAACATGTTAATCCCCATCAAAATACTCTCCCTCGCGGGGCTGGGGATTTAGCTCAGCGGCAAAAGCACCTGCCTGGCAAGCGCAAGGTCGTGAGTTCGGTTCCCCGTACCGGAGAAAAACCAAAACCAAAAAACAAAACAAAACAAAACAAAAAATACTCTCCCTCGCTTCAGACGTACTTATCTCACTATTCTTTCTAGCGTCTGGTATCGTTCTGAAGGTTTTTTTTATGAGTGTCGGTGTGAGGTATAATAAATGCAGCGAATGCTGCTGCAGCGTGCCATCCAACAGAAAAGCAGGCTCATTAAAACATTGTAATGGGTCCTCATCTACCTTATTCAGCAGATCGGGCACTGGGCAACATCTAACTCTTCTTCAAAGTCAAAATTACCAGTAAAGGTAAACGTTTTGAATCGATTCAAGACAGCGAGGCAGCCATGACAGCACAGCTAAAGACACAAAAAAGAACTTCCAGAGCTGCTTCGAAAAATGGCAAAAAGATGGGGGTACACTACATGTGCTGGAAGTGAGCGGGAATATTTTGAGGGTATGAAAATGAGTCTTTTGCTATAATAAATTATTTTTAATTTAGACATTCACAATAGGTTTTGATTTTTTTGTGTGTGTGCAGGAAGCTTATTAAAAAAGTACAGATTCTTAGGCTCTCAGAAATTCAGATTTAGAAGTCCTGGACAGGCCTCAAGAATTTGCTTTTTAGACAAACATTTAGGGTGATTATCATACAAGTGATCTGGGGATCCAGCTTTGAGAAGTACCTTCCTAAATCCTTCACCTCCATTTCAATTGAAGTCACAGAAAAAGGGTTAAACAGGCTCCAAAGTGTTACTTCTGAAAAGCAGGAGAACTGCCACACAGGATTCAACCAGAGACAAGAACCAAAGCATCACAGGAAACTAACCTTCAAATGTGCTGTGGGGGATTCTCAGGACCGAAGGTCAACAATCTCCCCAGTAATGCCTTCTGACCCATCCCAGGCCTCTTAGTGTTGTGCCTGGTCTTAGGAAGCCCACCTCCATGTTTTCCAGATTTTTACCTCTTTTGGTGATAGAATGGAAATGTAATCTTCATATATCATCCTGGCTTTTTCTTCAATGACTTTTTTGTTCTGCTCTTTCTTTAAATCTTCACAGGCAAGCCAGAAAAGCAGATTCTCTTCGCTGTATTCTGTTCGGAGGAACTCCCGGAAAAGGTTTCTTCCTGCAGGGTCCTTCATCATCTTGTCAAAACTTTGAGACCAGGATAAGACTTCATCTGCAGTGGGGCTTTGGCTGCAGGGATAGAATAAGGTTGTTTTCTTTCGTTGTTTCTATTTTTTGGGGGGGTTGTTTTCAAAAGCAATTCTGACCTCTGAAAGCTGGTCTAGGTGTGAAGCAGAGTAGGTAAGAAGTCTATATGGGTGCTGCCATCTAGTGGTTAGGACTTTGCCTCTCAGTCCAGTCTGACCTGACAAATACTGCCAGGATGGAGGAATTATTTCTGTGCCTCGACAAACACGGTAGGCAAGAAAATGAGCCAAGGGTTCAAGTATTAAGGAGTTATATACCATCTGACATGGGCATCAAAATCCCTAACAGCGTGGAAATGTCTAAACTCTAACAATACACTGCAAGTTGATAAAAACACTGTAAGTGACCTTAAAGAACAAACTGAATTTTTGTCTTTGCCTCGTGACAGAGATTTCCTCTTCCCACTCATAAGAAAGTTTATTTTTTTACAGTTAGTAGGCGCTTTCCATTAGTAAAGTAAGAATACATTATATGTACTTGTTTCTGAAAATGCCACTGTTGCAACAGCAAGCAGAAATACCGAATCAACTCCCAGGATTTGGTGGCAGATTTATTTTACATCGACGGGTACTGATCAGGATCATCCCCAGAATATCAGGCCCCGATCTCTGGTGGTCTAGGGTTTATATGTGATAAGCAAGCAGGAAGTACAGAGGCAGAATGGCTTGTCAATTGGGGACTGGTTTATACAATGTGCATCATAATGACCAGCTATGTATCCCACTGACCAGCCGTTTCTAAGAGACCAGAAGCAACCAGAGCTGAAACAGGAACTATTATGCAAAGTATACTGGTGGGGCAGGGGAGGCATTTTCTGTTACACTGTAAAGCAGAAGGCCTTTAGAATGGCATTGGGAATTTTTAGAAATCTACGTGCAGATTTTCAGTGACTACTTCACTGCAGAGACCACCAGTCAGTGTCCCACTTGCTAATACCTCAAACATGGATGGTTAAGGTAAATCCAAATGAACACTGTGATCCATTACAATTCATACTTACATGATTAGAACTGCTTAAAATCTAAAACAGATTTGATCAAAGGGATATTACTAATTTATGTTTTCTTAACCTTTTCACCAGTTTTTTTTTTCTTTTCATCAGTTATTTTAAGTAGATTGATCACTACTACATAATGTATGAATTTTCTCCTTCACTTAAAAGTATTAAAATTTGAGAAGCTTAAAATTATTTAAAACATCATTCAAAACCTCTGATAAAAATCAGAAAAAGAAAGAACCCTGCCGGTTCACAGGAAGTGAGATTCGCGTGTGGGATAAGATGTCCCTGGCACACTTTGCAATAGCTGTCGAAGCTGTGGGGCGGGTGCACCCAGATACTATCTGCCTCATGGCTGCCAACACGCTGACTGGCAACTGGGATTGCTCTTTCGGAGGAGGGATGAATTTGTCTAGCAAGCTGGCCCAGCTCACTTGTCATGGCAATCTCTGCCACAGCTTCCAATCTTTCAACACCTCCTACACAGACACAGGACTGTGGGGACTCTACGTGGTTTGTGAACCAGCCACAGTTGCAGATATGATACAAGTTGTTCAAAAAGAACAGATGCGACTCTGAACAAGTGTCACTGATAGTGAAGTTGCACGAGCCAAAAATCTTCTGAAAACAAACATGTTATCACAGCTTGACGGTTCTACACCGATTTGTGAAGATATTGGGAGGCAGATGTTATGCTACAAGAGAAGAATCCCCATCCCTGAGCTTGAAGCAAGAACTGATACCGTGAATGCTGAGATATTTCGAGAAGTTTGCACCAAATGTATCTATGACAAAAGTCCTGCTGTTGCTGCTGTTGGTCCTATTGCACAGCTACCAGATTTTAACCAGATTTGCAGTAACATGTGCTGGATCCGTGGTTGAAATGCTTGTAATCAAAATCCCTAAAGAAAAAGACAAGTGTGAATGCGTTTAGAACTCTTTGACTGAAATGTCAGGGTAAGATTACCACCTTGGCGATTGTTTTGTGTAACTTCAGTCTTAGTGCTCTGAGAAGTTGCACTAGAAGCAGCACACATTCAAATTATTACCATAAATATAATTTTGGAAATAAAAATTTTATACAGTGAAAAAAAAGTTGCATGAGAAAAACTGTATAATTGTATGAAAAGTCAAGTTGTATTTTAATTTTTAGATAATGCATTCAAATTCTCACTCCGGAGAACACTGGTTCCAGTCTGCTCCGACGTAAGAAGGGCCAGGAGCCAGCTGGGCACTCTTCCTGACTGACTTGAGTAATTTTGTGTGTGTGTATGGGGTTTTTCTGTTCATTTATTTGTGTTTTTTTTTGAAACAGGGTCTCACTGTATAGTTTAGACTGGCCTTGAACTCACTATGTAGCCCAGGCTGGCCTTGAACTTGCAGGGATCCTGCTGCCTCATCCCCATGAGTGCTGGGGCTACAGGTGTGCGCCACCACACCCAGCTTATGTATGTTTTTAGACTTCTATGAAGAGAATTTAAAACATACTCAGAAAACAGAAGTAAAAAAAAGGTAATTTTAAGGGGCTAATTAATGTGGTAATTTTTTTATGTCTTAAAAGAGAAAGATAATCTTAGGCAATGATAAACATAGCTAGTTCATAGAAAAATTGATAAAAATCCACTGTAATCACGAAAGAAGGCTCCCAGGCTGTTTCAGTGTCCATTTCACAAGAATTAGCAACCTAAATAGAGAGATAACACTTAGGGCCTTTGCAGCTGTGAGTAGCAGGGAAATACAAGCGACAACTACATCAGGGATGCCACACTCACCTCTCCTCTAGGACCTGGATACTCTCCATTTTTGTGGTGTGTATGGGTCTTCCTGCACTCTCCCCTCTTTCTTCATTTCTAACGGTGAGGCTGTAACACAGCAGAACACTTACTCTTGTTAAGGGAAATTCAGTTAGTTACAGAAAAGAATAAATTTTGCAGAGGAAACGTTTCACAGCAGGTATTCTCTTTAAAATAAAAAAATACATGACGGTTAAGCCCATTTCAATCAGAAGGAGAATAATTTTAAATAGAATAAGGGAATCAGAATGAATAGTGTTATGCATTATAACTTCATGCTGAAATAATTTGAAGTGCTTAAAATCTACAAGATACTGTATGATTATAAGCTTTAATATTTAATAAATATTAAGTTACCTTTAAATCTAAAGTCATTCTGACTTTTGGTTAGTACCGTTCAGTTTGTTTTGGGCTTATTTCTCCCCAGTTAGTAACAAAGAAGATACAAGGAATCAGGAGCTGATACAGATTTTGCTAAATTTATATCATCTTTCCCTCCAGGACAGGTTTTCCATCATCGATGCCACCCTTCCTTCAACCACCAAGGTTTGAGCTACTGGATTTACATTTGACTTTGTCTTTGCCCTAAATGCTAGAAAGATCTAGCATAATGGAGATGCTTAATCTCCATTGTCTTGAGAGGTACAGTGCAGCAGTTTGACACGTAAGAGCACTGGGTGGGAGAAATCTCCGTGTTTCTGAGGCATGGGATGGGAATTTGATAGAATAATAGGATAGAACTATACATTTTAGGAACCCACAAAGCAGTAAGACTTGTGTGGATCAATCAGTGCCAATCACTGCAGCTGCAGCCAATCAGTGCCTTAGGATAGAACATTAGGTTCAAGGGACACAAAGCTACAGACCAGAGATAATGGGAAGTTACAAGCAGGTATTTAGAAGGTGGGTGGGGAGGATGACCCAGCCTTGAAAAGCTGGCACTCCTGAAATCAGCAAACTCGTACGTCTGTCTAGAAGTCTAGGAGCTTTACAAAAGCCTGTCGGGGAGCAAAAGAAGGTCAGATAACATCCTCTGTGTTTATTTATTTATTTACTCTTTAAGAGGCAACAGAAACTAGTATCTTTTAATGCCTGTTAGGTGTGAGGCACCATTCTCTTACTGCTGTGTTACTGAAGTGGGAACATTTTACATCTGAGCAAAGTAAAGTGCACAGTGGTCTGGTAGGTTGGCTCAAAAACTGAATGCTAAATATGTAATACGGTTGCAGTGTGAAATCTATTCTGCCAAACAATGCTGTATTTTTATTAAGTACTTAATAAAATAATTGAGTACCTCAGGCCCTCTGATAGGCACTGAGGTACTGCAGTACTTATGGGAATACACAGAAGTGTCCCCAGAGAAGTGTCCAACAAGTACTTATTCTTAATGTAGAAAGCGAGGTAAGTAACTGAGACAATGTCTCATTAATTCAATGTCTCCATTCGCAGGTGTAAGGGTGAGGAGGACAAGAATGTAGGGAAGGAAAGAATTTAAGGGGAGCTCGACAAACAGCCCGGTCTACAGAAAGAAGATGATGTAGGAAGATTTACTTGAGAAGGTGGACTGAATGAAGAAAAGAGTTGATAGAAAATGGAAAGAATTCTTTAGTCAGAAAAGAACACTGTGAAGAAAAAATACAGTTCAATCGTGAAATAATGTAAGCTTCCCTCCCCTTATTCCTAGCAACAGCAGGTTTAACGGTAGAACCAAGAGAGAAAAGATTAAACCTCTAACAAAAGTAGTGTAGCCCAAGGAATCCTGGGAAGTGCCTCTGGCTCACTGCTCTGAGTGAGGCAGCATGTTAGCTGACTGATTAGAGCTCCCCGGGTGGGAGCAATCTGTGGCTTCAGAAGCCAAATTCCTCAGTGCAGTGGAGACATATCTAGAGTGCGGCACCATTTTTAAGTCCCTTTGTGTGGATATTGTGAATGTGAGTGGAGTCTGAGGTAGTGTAGGAAACTGCAACCCTCTCTATTCCCATCCACGTAGGTCAGATACAATTTTAAGAGGAGATTCATTCACCTCCCCAAGTATCTTTGAGTGAGTGTGCTTTTCTGGAATGGGAAAGTGGATCACTGGGGGAGACACACCACTGACAATACCTTGCAAAACTTCCTGTACTTATAAGAATGCATAATATATACATATGAAATAGGTAACCACTTGTAAATGCTAGAAAGATCTTATTTAAATAAGAAGTTAATCCTCATTCTGCCAAGTTTCATTTACTTTATATGTGTGTTAAGTACTCTATAAGGAGACCGGATAAGGAGGGCTTTTCCCCCTGCTTAATTAATAAACTCCTTCAGATCTTATTTCTTTTATTATTACACAGGGTCCCAGAGAGTGCACCACACAGAACACAGACCTACGTCATATCATGCAGCGTCTTTGAGAAAGTTGTTCTTCACTGGCCTCTGCTCCACAGCAATAAATCTGGAATCCATGTGCATGACTCACACATTTCTGAACATGAATTCTGGCTCTTCTGTCAGCTTCTCTGATGTTTACAAACATCTCAACTGCTACCATATTAGAAGTACTGGGTTGTGTTTATACCCTTCATTTCTACAGATGGTAAAATATGGATGCGCATTTGGATTAAGACTACTGAGGCGTTCAATAAATGATGAACTGTTCAGTCTGAGGCATCTCTTCATGTTGGGCAGTCTTACCCGGGAGAAGGAAACTTAACTTCTGCAATGCATAATTTACCCTTTCAATTAACCTTTCTTTAGTACCATTCTTAAAAATGGTTTCAGGGTTTCAACGACTAAGGGCCAATGAAAATGCCATTTTAATATAAAGAAAATAAACAATGATGATACTGGAGTGACCTGTCCCAATGCTGACATGTCTGTTTCCAATTTCACTTAGTTCTGCTCCATGGAAACATAATTGTTTTTATACATAAGGTAATAAATTACTGGACATATTTGCCCTAGACCAACACATGTTATAAATTTTTGAAAAAGTCTAAAAGGAAAACGTCAAAGTTAGTATTTGTGAGATGTCACAAGCAATCATCCTTGTTTCATTTTTTAACTATATTATTTTAAACTAACAACTAGCATTTCTTTTTCTGGCAGTACGAGGATTGAACTCAGGGTGTTCAGAATAAGCTACACCCTCGGGAATGAATAAAAGTATATATTATTTTTTATTTTATTTTTGCTATAGAGTCTTGTTCAGTTGCCTAGTTGCCACTGCTGCTAGTTGCCATGGCTGGCTTTGAACTTGTGGTAATTCTCCTGCCTCAGTCTCCTGAGTTCTGGAATTACAGACATGCACCACCATGCCCAGCTTCACATTTCTACTGTTCAAACAGTTAAAGCCATCGGGGAGAACAAACACTTATGCACTGCTTACTCTGGCAGTCTTGATCAAAACTGAAAACACTTTATGGAAGAAAAATGCCAGTAATCGAGGCCAAATGTATTAACGCAGGCATTGAAATACCATTACAGATTTTCTAGAATGGCGTAGTGGTTGACTAATTATGTCAACTTGAGAAGTTTAGAAGCATAACTAAACTTGGCTCGGCAATTGGCTCAGCAATTCTACACCCTAGGGCGTACAGGAGCCACCCTAGGGAGTATCATCACCTAGATGATATAAAAGGGAAAGGAGGAAGGACAGAGGAACTTCCATTCCTTCGGAGGAGCTCCAGTCTTCACCTTCAACTTGACCTTCGTCTCCTGGCTTCTAGTGCAGACTCTTTGGCTTCCGCCTTGGATCCTTCAGCCTTCTGTCGCAGACTCATCGGCTTCCTGGTACGGACTTGCGTGGAACTCTGCAGTGAACTCCAGACCCTGGCCTGATTCCTTCGGTCTCCAGTGTGCAGACACCCTCTGCACCCTTCCTCATACAACTCTCTGGCTGACGGTGGTAAGCCAATCTTGTAATTTCTTATACATTTGTACATCTTGTGTTGTATCTGTTTCTCCAGTAAAACCCTGACTGATACAAATGGCAACTTGAAATGCCTTGGGTACATTCCAGAAAACAGTAACATGTGCTTTTCTATGTATGGATGGATTGTTTGTTTACAGGACAGTCTGGGTCGTAGGAATGGAGAAAACATCACCTGCTGCCAATTGTACAGTGATCAGTCATATGTGCAGGGTCTATTTTGGAAGATGGTCTATTATGGTAAGAAAAGCAACTGGTTCTTAGGAAGTACTCTTGAAACAGTCAAAAATAAGATACAATTGCCATGGAAACTCTGGGATAGAGGATGATACAAATCATACGTATTTACACAAAAATTCAACTGAGGAACCAATAAGATGCTCAAACTTAATACACTGTGACATCAGGGTCCAAGAAGGAACCACTGTCATTGAAAAAAGCAGATTGTTCTCAATATTTTAATGTTCTCACATTGTGATATCAGCATTTTCCTTTTCAAA